TGGGCATGGTGGACCACCTTCTCCCCTGTTTCCACGTGGGCATGGTGGACCACCTTCTCCCCTGTTTCCACATGGGCATGGTGGACCACCTTCTCCCTGTTTCCACGTGGGCCATGTGCCGTCTCCTTTGTTCTGCCCCTCACTGATGGATACCTTAAAAAATGAAAGTAAATCTTCTTGGAAAACATCACTGTATTTTCTCAGATTAGTAGTTGAACTTTTTTTCTTTGTCCTAGGATTGTGCTTCTGAATATAATATAATACCCATTAAGCTGTCATTTGAAAAGGCCTCTACCAAGAGAGTTAGCTTTCTCTTCCTATATCTTACCCAGGGGTGAAGCCGTCTGAGCATGATGTCAGCAATAATCGCATCCTTCCAAAAAGAGTCTGAATGGTGATTTTAAGTGTTCACAAAGCATCTGTGTGGGTAGTATTGAGGGCTTACCTGATATAAAGATAGCATAAAGGATGGCTTTGTGTGCTTTTGGACCCCTGGTGGTGTAGTGGGTTACATATTAGACTGCTAACAGGGTCAGCAGTTTGAGCCCACCGGCAGCTCAAAGAGAGACTGAAGATGCTTTCTATGCCTGTTATGAGTGATAGTTTAAGAAACCCTGTGGTGGTCTCTATGAGTCAGGATCCACTTGACAGGAGGGGGGTGTTGAGTTGTGCGTACTTTAAAAAAGTAATACATTTTGACACTTAAAATTAGTAAAATCAAGTGGAATTGAATTCCTGGTTCAGATGAATTGTATTTAAATTGCTGTAGTAAGTCCCTTTTCTTTTTAATACTAACTTCCTGAAAATGTGTTGTATTCTCATTTATTTTTATGAGTTTATCAGGTTTTTCCATATCATTATCGCAACAATTTCCATGTATGCTAATGTATTCATGTTGAGAAGGAACCTACATGACACACTGTCAAAGTTAGATTGATGAAAATGGACTTCCACTTTTGCCCTTTAACGCGTAGCCAATATAGGACTTGCTCTCCTTCCATAAATAATTTTAAAATCTGGACAAAATATATAAAACAGCTGTTTCCAAACGTTGGGCAACAGCAGTACAGATCTCTGATCCCTGAAAGAAGCAAAGCAAAAGAAGTGAGCAGAAAGCTGGCCCTCCCTTCTACCTCGAAGTGGTTTCCAGGTAACAGCCCGGGAGGCAGGGCCTCTCCAGGAGGATGTGAGGGCATAGATTGGGGCGGGGACGAGGATGTGAGGGCACAGAGATTGGGGCGGGGAAGCCATGGGGGCTGTGACTGGAATGTGTGGGGTTCAGTACCAGAAAGGATGGAGCTTCACAGGGACAGACTTTCAGAGACCTGGGTAGGAGTGTCCCTGGCTCTTGCGTGAAATACTGACCTGCACCTGGGCAGAATGAAATTGGCGTTCGTGAGAAGGGGCAAAGGATGGCTGGCCGGCCTATAAGCTGAAAAGATCCCAGGGCTAGGGATCATTTGATTTCCTGCCAGTCAGTGTAAAGAGGCCTTGCTGACCACGAAGGGGTTTTTCACCTGGACCCAAACCCAACTTCACTGGCACTGCATGTTCAGGGCAGTCTAGACCTATTCCCTAGGGTTTCTAATCCTTACGGGAGCAGAGCGCCTCAACTTTCCCAGGTGGGTGAATGGTGGTTTCCAATTACTGCCCATGAGGTTGGCAGTCCACCACCACCAGAGCTCCTGGTACCCTTGTGGGCCAGTCTGGGTACACTAGGGAAACAAATCCACAAAAGTCATATGTATGAGAGAGAGTTTTATATAAAGGGTAAGTGTACATTAAGAAAGCATCCCAACCCAGTGCTGTCCAAGCCCATAAATCCAATATTAGCCCATATGTCCGACACCGATCTACAAAGTCCTCCTCCATCTCACAAAACACGCAATGACACCGACTGCAGGAGGAAAGCTGGATCAGTGAGCGTGTAAGCATCTCAGGGGTCTCCCCACAGCTGCTCCAGCACCCAGGGCTGCATCGGAGTAGGTCCATGTGGCTTCTCCTCAGGGATGTCTCGCAGGAAGTGGGTCTTGCCAGCTGAAGCAGGGAACTGGCTAAGGCAGCTGACCCTCATCAGGCCATCACAAAGCAAGAGACCCGAGAACTAGAAAGGTGAGGCTCACCGAGCCATTCATCTCTCCGCCCTTCAATTAACCCCATGTGTTTATTGGCCAGGTTGGCACAATAAACCTTAACTATCTCACCTTGGAAGAGAGCTAAATCCTAGAAAAAGGGGGAATCTGTAACTGCCTTTCCATTCCAAACCAGAATGGTTGCTACCGAGTCCATTCTGACTCATGGCTGTCAACGCAGGACTGAGCTCTGTAGGGTTTTCTTAGCCTTTTGCCCTTGGCACCACCAACACCCAGGTGCTTTATTCTTATTTGTCTGCCTTCCAAATCTAAACACCCAGCTGCCTTCAACTTGTTGGCATTAGTTTGAGTCTGACTCCCTGTGACAGTGTAGAACTGCCCCACAGAGGTATGTTTTTCTTCTCCTTACTTAGTTTGTTCCATATGTAATCTTTACAAATCTTTATTGCTAATGTTTTGATTAATTGATCAGTGAAGACCTTTGGGGCCACCCTGGACCTGGGTAATCAATTCTCTTTTAAAGACTAACAATGAGAAAAGACCAGCAGTCATATTGACCCACCTATTCATTCTTTTTGCTCCTCTTCATACCTTTGGGTAGGTTATAACATCGTTTAGTTGTTTTGTGGATATATATATATGTTTTTGGGAATTGTTCATTTCTGTAGAAATGTTCGTCTACTTCCTATTCCATTTTTATTTTCCATAGTAACTTTGTGCAGGATTAACCTGTGTATGTTCTGCTGCTCCAATTGTAGCCGAAATGGGCTTTCCCAGTGATGTCACTGTAGCACCCCCACCATCACCCCCACCCACCCCTGTGTCTCCCCCCAACTCCACCTCTGATCTGCTGGCTCCTACTGTTCCCTTGGTCTTGATCATTTGCTAGATTGACTCAGAGAGTTAAATACAATTACAGGTTTATTATAGCAAAAGCATATAAGTGAAGTCTTGGGAGGGTTCTTGACACCAAGCTTCCATGGCAAATGCATTAGAACTTGCCCCGTTTGTTTTTTTACTTCAGAATAAGATATGTGCAGTGTGCATAGGAATATATTCATAGTTTTTTTCTTTAAACTATAGTCCGGCCCTCCAATGGGTCTGAGGGACAGTGAACTGGCCCCCTGTTTAAAAACTTTGAGGACCCCTGGCTTAGAGTCTGAGCACTTGGTTTGTAGAAGGCTATGGTTTTCACTAAATCCACTTGGGGTCTTAATATAGATTCAGCCTCCATGGAATGATTTCTGATCATTCACCAACCACATAAAAAGCGGCATGATTTGTTTTTGTCTTTGTCCTATTTATGACTTGATAAAGGGGTTTCTAAGAATACATATTTGAATTTGGAGGCTTTTCCCCCTAAAACATTGGCCACTCCTGATGATGCCATGATGCTTTCATTACCCTCTATATAGAATATGTGTGATAAACATCATAACTGTTTATGATAGATTAAGTTAATTCTATCAGCTTGTGCACTGGGTACATGCTGACAGTCTCCTTCAGCCAAGTGATTGTCATTATTCAAGTTGGCGTCCCAGAGCCCGGGTGGTGTAGTGGTTATGTGTTGCGCTGCTAACCTCAAGGCCAGCTGTTCGAAACTCCCAGCTGCTTAAGAAGGAAGAGGCTTTCTAATTCTCTCCTGACTTGCAGGGTCGGTCTGAGTGACCCTGACTCAATGGCTGTGAGTTTAAAAGGGTCTCTGTAGATGGTTTTGAATCTGCGGTCTTTTCTCCTACAAATACTTTTAGAGTCTAATCTCCCACGGACTTTGGGTTCTTTCCTCATTATATTCATGTATTCCTCCAAATCTTTGAATCAGTATCAAGCCCTTCTCTGTTAATTTTATCATCTCCAGTAAATCTCAGTCTGTTTCTAATAACCAATTTTCCTCCTGGTAGTTCTGATTTTTTTGGCTGCTAGACTTTATGATTACTATTCTGTTTGTGTCTGACTGTGCTGTCTTTCACAGGAGTATTTATTTTATTTGCAGATCAGCTGAATTCATTCAAGATGAGGTGGATATCATACAGCTTTGCTGGGGTGGTTATAGTATAGCCCTTTCTCTAAGGCATAGGTTCCTCCGTTTACTCGGCTATTGCCCCTTTCAGAAAATAATAAAATTACTGAGTGCCCCCGACAATTAAAACGCTTGTTCTACAGCCCACAATCCAGGGTAATGCAGAGGTATCTCTCTGCTTTCGAAGCTCACCTGGATGGGGCCAGCGCTCTCCAGGGAGCGCTATCACCCACTTTGAGAAACACGGCTCCAAAGTTATTTTAGCTTAAAAACAAACAAAAAAAATCCTCACTGCCATCAAATCCATTCTAATTCACAGGGACCCTATAGGATAGGGTAGAACTGTCCCTATGGGTTTCTGAGACTAAGTCTTATGGGAGTAGAAAACTTCATCTTTCTCTCATTAGTTTAGCTATACTTCTCAAAATGTCTACCAACTGTGAAGACCTCAAAAGATATGCACCCCACCCCCACCCCCAGGTAATTGCTCTTTGCCTGGCCCCTTCTCGTGTACTACTTACTATTAGGCCAAACATTCCAGGGGCTCAATGCAACATTATGGGAGATCTTTCTCTGCCTTCTTTTCTCCTCTCCAGTACTGTGTATTGCAAATTCGGTGTCTGTCACCAGCCCCACCCATAACTCTGATCTCTGCTCCCCAACTCAGTGAGACCTCCATGCTACTTGTCCTTGTATAGTGTCCTG